TCTGGGGTGAGTGGTTGCGGTGAGCAAGGGATTGTGGGGGAATTTGGGGTGGCATTTTGAGAGGCTTTGGGGGAGAGTTAGAGCAGGGAAGGCTGGGAGTCAGGGCTCCTGGGCTCTATCCCTGGCTCTGGGAAGAGAGTGGGGCCCTGTGGTAGAACAGAGGGGGCTGAGGCTCAGGACTCCTGGGTTCTATTCCTTGCCCTAGGAGGGAGTGGGGTTAATTGGGCTAGAACAGGGGGGCTGGGAGCCAGTACCCCTGGGTTCTGATCCCAGCTCTGGGAGGAGAGTGGGAGAAGCAGGGGGTAGTGAAGAGGTTTAGCCATGACCCACCCATCACAGCACTTAATCCCATATAGGCCCTTCTAACCTGTCCCCCGCCTCCCCGAGCGGCTGCTTCGTGCAGCCCAGCAGATTCCCCAGCCTGGGAGGGGGAAGGAACTGTTTGTGATTCACCCGCTGCTCAGGAGAGCCGGAGCGTCGGGCGGATGCTGGAAGCCAACGCCTGGCGGGTGCGGGGGGAGTGGGGACGAGGGCCGCGGGCCCCGCTAGGCCCAGCTCCAAAGAATCTTAATTGCAGCCGGCTTGGCACCTGTCGGCCGAGATGCTCCTGTCCTGGCACACGCAGCACATTCCTGGGGCCAGGAGTCCCGCAAGCCAGGCCTTGACACACATAAACCTGGGAGCGGAACACAGGCACTTCTTCAAGGGCTGCTGGCTCAAATCCAGGTCCAGGATGTGGGGACTGGTTGGCTCAGAGGGGTGGGGGATGGGACACGGCCTCTCCCTTACCAACTTGGGGCTGGATGGGAACTGGTGCCCCCTAGAGGGGAAAGACCCCATTCCCTCCTCCTCCCAACCTGGATTGGAGCAACAGGCCCAGAATATGTGCCCCTTATCTGGGCGGGGAAGGTATGGACCCATTAATTATCTGTCCAGTCCCGCTCACGACTAGTACCAAGGAAAACCTTGAGGCCTGAAACATATAATTATCCTGCCTATGTTTCCTATAGTGGCCCTGTCCCATAACACGCCAGAGAGGGGCAGAGATCACCCCACCCACAGCTGCAATGCGGCCAGCCCTGGGGTGGAACGCACTGGAGTGGTGGAGTGTAACAGCACACAGCAACGCTACACAGCACTGGCAGCTGGGGGCGGGTGGGGGGAGAGAGGTGGTCCAGGTTCAGTCTGAAACTGGGGCACAGAGAGGCAGAACCAAGTCAACAGAGCAGGGGTTTGGCCAGGACACTGGAGTTCACACCCCAGCATGTAGGGAAAGTGCCAGGAGGTTTAACAACCATAAATGGGGCAGGGTCATGGTTTTACATCTCACTCGAAACAGTGAATCACAGTGATAGGAACAGCACAGCAGCCCCCCCCCCCCCATGAAGTGGAGAGTACCCCCTCTACTGAGCTCCCCCCTGGTGCTGCACTGGGGCATTGGGGTCATCACTGGCTGTGAGAGGAGGGTACCCCTAATGAGCCCTCCACCACACTCCCTGCAGCACAGCGCCCCTTCGCACTGCAGTTGACCACTGGGGCCAGCGGTGACTGAGAAGGGAGAGCACCCGCTACCCACTCCGTGCAGCTCCTTAGTGGTCTCCCCTCCCATCCCAACTGAAACCAGTCCTGCTTAGCCTGCCATCTCCAGGCATCCCAGCATAGGCAGGGCTCCCGCTGCCTCCTGAGCCTCAGCCCACAGGCAAAGCGGATGTCAGCATGTCTTGGATGTGGGAAACACCCAGGGCCAGGCAGGTGGTGCCAGCCCAACGGGTTCAACCAAATACCCGGGTGAATAACCTCAGGGAGGAGAAGACGACAAACAGGAATTCTGGGATGGCAGCATATCTAGTGGTTACAGGGGGAGCGAGGCCTCCTGGGGTTTAGCCCTGCTCCTGGTGGGGAGTGAGGTCAGAACAAAGGGGGCGGGGCTGTGAGGCAGAACCCCTGAATTCCATGCCTCGGTTTCCCCTCACTCCATTGAGGGGATTCTCCTGGCTGGGCGGTTTCATTGGCAAATGTGGGCACCTAGCTGTGAGGCTGGTGATGATGAGCTGGGCTGGGCACTGCCCAGGCTCGTGGCACTGGCAGCCCGTGCACTGCAGCACATAGCCTGCGTCTATAACATGCCTTCAAAGAACTTGGCTAATTAACGCACAGGTGAAGCAGCGTCAAAACCACTCACACAGGGAAACTGAGGCACCACCACTTCCTCGGAGCCAGCACTCGGGATACAACCCAGTTCTCACTCCCAGCCCCCATAACCACTAGGCTCCCCTCCCCTCCCACAGCTACAAATAAAAGAACCCAGGTGTCCTGGCTCCCAGACCACTAGACTCTACTCCCAGAACCAGGGATAGAACCCAGGTGTCCTGGCTCCCAGCCAGGCTCTCTGGGTTGGGGTGCTCCCAAAATCCCAGCTGGAGTTTCGACCTGGCTAGTTCCTGGTTTTGGGACGCGTCCCAGCCTCAGCCCCAGGGGGGAATGAGTCTCGTGGCAGGGATGGGGCAGACGCGGGGGAACCAGTCTGGATGTGGATGGGAGGGGTGCGGCCGGAGCCTGTGGGGGGGGGGAGGCCTGTCCCTAGCTCTACCACTGACTCACTGGTGATCCTTCCCGCTCCTTGCCTCAATTTCCCCATCTCCTCATGGGGATGGCGTCTCTGAGAGGCTATCCAGAGACACTGAATAGCGCCATGTTTAATATATACCACTAGTGCTTTTCATCCCCTGCCCAGTGCTGAGATGCAGCCACCTCGGGGGTGGGGCACAGGGGCTGTTTAACAAGTCACAGTAACACCACATAACAGTTTTGGACAGGAAGTGAAAAAGAATTTTGTATCCGATTGAAACTGCAGGGTTTATTGAGACAAGCTATAAACAGTAAAGGTGGAATTTGTCTGGGCACTGGGGTGAAGTACCCTGCGCTAACCACTACCCCCCACTGACTTCCCAGAACCATAAAGAGAAACCAGGATTTCTGACTCCGGCCCCCTTCACCCCAGGCCTTGCTGCTCCTCCTGCCGCTGGGTTCCTCCCTTCTCGCCCCCGCGCCTGGCTAGGGGAGCAGGAAGCTCCCGGCTCCACGTGGGGGCCTCTCCCTGTGCCCCAGGCAGGCCCCGTTCCCGCTGCCATACAGTTAAGTTTCGCCGCCCGCCTACACTCCAACCTATCCCAGCCTTCCCGAGCAAGTAACTCCCTCTCCTCATCCCCTAATCCCAGTGCTGGGGGATCTGGACCTGCCCAAGGCTCTGATTACTGGCAGTGCCTGAGCCAAGAGGGTATCTCCAACCCAGCAGTGCCATGGCTGCTGGCTGAGGGGGGAGGTAGAGGGTAGGAGTTGTATCAGGGCAAGTGTGTGAAATAATGAGGGGGATGGAGGAGTGGGGAGAAGAACAGAAGATACAACGAGCTGCCCTGTGCCTCTTTCCCCCATCTGCCCAACCCATGTCATGCCCTAGGCTCAGTGGGGCACAATCTGCCTCCATGTGTGTCTTCTTTGGCCCCACAGAGCTATGCATGGGGTCAAGGGGTCCCAGGGATAGTAGGGGGCTTCAGGCCAGGATTTTGGGGCCTTGGCAGAGCTGGGGGGGGGGAGAATCCAGAGCTGGGATAGCAAGAGGCTGTGGGTTGGGATTGAGTGGCATTAGCAGAGATTAGGGGGGCCAGGCTGTGATAACAGGTTAGGGAGCACCACTCAGCCCCTAGGTACCTGCAACCTGTTAGCTGAGGTCTCTGGTGTGGCTCAGGTGGGGGTGGTTTAATGAGACTGTTACTCAGAGGTTACACAACGAAACTGAAGCAAGTCAGCACCTGCTTCTGCCCCCTCATCCCAGACCTCCGGGGCAACAGAGCCAGGACTCAGCCATCGCCTCCTCCGTTAGATGCTCTGGAGACAGAGCCCTGCCGCTCCTCCCTGCTCCATCCCATAGACCAGCCCTGCCTGTCACCCTCAACCTCCTGCTAACTCAGCCCTGGGCTCCCCAACAGCTCTGCCAGCGCCCTTCAATCCCACCCCCTGCTATCCCAGTCCTGGGCTCCTCACCAGCTCTGCCTGTGCCCCTCAATCCTGACCCCCAGCCCCCTGCTAATCCAATCCTGGGCTTCCCACCGACCAGCTCTGCCAGTGCCTGTCAGCTTGGATTTGCAGCCCCCTGATATCCCTCCACCCAGTGCCCTGAAACTGACGAGGATCCTGAGCGGATGGGGTGATGTGGGGTGATAGTCCTTGAGGGTGAGAGGAACCCCTGGATGGATGGGCCCATTGGTCGGGGGGCGGGGCGGAGCAGGCAGCGACAGAGAGGAGAGGGGTTGCTCCGGCTGGGGGACGGCAATGTTGCTGGGCGAAGGGGTATACCCAGAGCAACGAGGCAGGGGGAGGGGCCGGGCAGTGACTCGGGGGAGGAGGATACGGGGGTAGTGACGCGGGGGGGCA